TTAAGTGTTATTTCTCCAGCTAGAATTTGTCTGTTGCCTAATGTAGAATGTGGGTATAGTGCAGGTCCATTATATACTTGTTGAATGAGTGACCTTTTTAAGAAAAACTAGATATTCCAGAGCCTGTAATTGGCTCATGTTCATGGTGAATTTAAGGAGGCGCTTAGGGGGAGTACAATAATATAACAGTCCTGAGCCTTATTTGACTAGGCCAAACTGTTTTCAAGGAGCCATAAATCTCTAGAGATACTGCTCTCTAAAATGCAGGCCGAAAATGTCGAATGCACCGAACTGGATGATGATGATGATGATGATGATGATGATGATGATATTACTGTTTCCTGGATTGTAAACCCTTTCAAGACAGGGCCTGTGCTTTAACTCTCTCTGTACTAAATTTTGAATGGGTGGTAAAAGCCACAGGGTCCAGTGAAAGATCCTTTGCCGGTATCTCTATAGCACATCCAACTCACGTTTGAATATTTGGCAGGAAGCTAACTTCTGTGGCAGCCCTTTCCAACTTGGTGCAGTTGTCTCTGCTTTAAGAGAAAGTTATATGGAAGTACACTCAATTCCCCATACTATGCGCCCATGTTGTAATTCTAATTCTTAGGGTCATCAATATGACTCAAAGTCCATGAAAGACTTGGACAAAGAAGACATTCAATAAAGTGTAGAGAATTAAATTGAACTGTGAAAATTTGACTAAGTTTTTGAATTGAGATTTGGAACTAAAATATATCCTAGACTAAGTTTGAACATAATTTTACATCAGATTTTTTTTCTAGTCTTGCCATTTTTGTGCCTGTGAGTATCTGCCAATATCAATGGAAATGATTTTTATGTAGTTTTGCAGTTGTGGTATGTATATGTGGCTCTTTGGGAGTTATTTTTCTGAAGTTAGGGCATGAGAAAGTAAAAAAAGGCCATTAATGATTAGGTGTACAGTGTTGAGATATGTTTTGGTATTTTACTTCTTTTCCCCTCACAATAGTGCTTCAAGAAATAGGTGTCACATTTCATATTTTTTGGTCACGGATCCAGTATTTCCATGTGATCCAGATCCTTCAAGTTCCTAAAAAGCTTCACATTAACTAGGTTCTTTGTTTTTGTTTATGACCCAACTTTGCATTTCTCTGACTATATGGTAATCAGAGAAACATTTACTATAGGGAAACATTTACTAAAGGAAATCGGTAGAGCAGTGTCTCCCAACATGTACACCCAACAACAACTAGCAGTTAAGAGTGTTATCATTTAACCAATTATTCCAATAAACCAACTTCTCCAATAGAGTGTGGCTGTAACTAGGGTCACATTAATAGAAATAATCTAAGTCCCTATGTTTTTTCCTATCTCCGCCTATAGGATTTAGTGCTCTCCATGTTCCCATTCCTGTAGTATTCTTGGAGGAGATGTGAAATGCGCCATCTATACTCATGAGTTTGGTTTTTCCACGTTTGGTAGCTACTCCTGCTGAGCTAGGTGTCCTTCTTTAGGAAACTTCCTGGAGCAAGCATGTCAAACTCAAAGTCTAACAGGGCCAAATAAACAAGGTTTAAGTTTCTGTGGGCTGCAAAAAACAAAGGCTTCAATTTTCATAGAAACGTAGGTTTATTTCGATAGAGACATGCTGAATACAAAGTGCTGGAAATAAATGAGTAATCATTAACATAAAATAATAGAACATTTTAAAAAAATTAATATTTTTTTTTCTTGAACATTAACTTACCAGACACCAAGTAACTGCACAATTCAATAAACCTATTTTTATTGTTCTCTAAAAGCGAAATATTTCCTATTGTGCACACCAAACAAGTCAGTCCAAGACTAATGACGTGGCAATCGGCTGCTAAAATATTCGCTGCTAGTATTAGTGGAGAGAAATGGTGCGGCTGCACATAAGGTGCATAAGGGAAATTAATGGAACACAATTATAGTAATCATTAGAAAACATGGTAGTTCGTTATTCATAATTATCTATAAGAGGCTATTATCAAAATTATGTTACAAAATGTTTAGTGAAACATTTCTTCTATACTGTTATATCTGCTGGGTCACAAAAATATTCACTGTGGGCCACATGCGGCCCGCAGGCTGCGAGTTTGACGTGCTCATGTAGAGAGAGGTGCAGTGCCTTAAATAATTACAGCTCCTTCCTCTGGGACTTAGCCCTGCTCTAGGCACTGAAGCTACTTCTTTCATTCCCCTCGGGTCTGCGGGCTCTCACAGGAGCTATTCTCCTGAGCAGGTTCCACCGTGCATTCAGTAATTCTTCCCTCTGAGAACCAAGATGTCTTCACTGAGTCATGTTAATTATTCTTGGTAGTTTTGTCCCCAAAGGTGAATTCTTCATGCCTTTGTGCATGTGAACTTCATAGCTATCCTTCCAGCTCCCATGCATAAGCCCAGAGGACTCCTGCAATGGCTCTCAGTAGCTTCCACTGCTCCACAGCACTCTCTCAGAGGAGTGGGGTTAAAGTCTATCGATAGAGCTGAACACATCAATAATCCCATCATTCCTAGTATGATCCTAAGACCCTGGAAGCAAATGAGTTTTTCATCATATTCCCCCAGGTTGCTTGTAGTTTAATTTTCAGACTGTAATTGAATGTCGTATTTTCTTTGCAGAGCAGTGCAAACATTGAGAAGTAGCATGTTATCATGAAAAGAATATTATCCTATAAGTCAGAAAATCTGAGAGCCATTCGTAGGTCTTCCTTAAGCTATTCATTCATCCTGTAATATTTATTGACCCATAATGTCCTAGACACCTTACAAGGTATTGTGGGTACAAAAATGAATTAAATTCTCAGTGATTCTTAGCATGATTATGCATTAGTCCGGGGCTAATCAAATTGTGGTCTGCAGGCCAAATTTTATTCCCCATATGTTTTTATAAATAACATTTTATTAAAACATTTTATAGTTTCTTTCATGCTACAACAACAGAGTTAATAAGTTGCGACAGAGATCTTATGATTCCTAAAACCTAAAATATCTAGCATCTGACTCCTTACTGAAAAATTTTGCTGACCCCTGCATTAGACTCATCATAGAGAAGATTAAAAAAAATTTGCCTGTGTTTCAGAATGATAATTAAATTTGGATGGAGTGGGGGTTGGGAGTTGGCCAAGAACCATTGTTTCTTAAAAGCATCCTAGATAAAATAACGTGTAGCCAGAGTTAACAAACATAAGCAGATGATCTCTGCCCTCAAGGAGTACAAGGTTTATTGGGGAGGAGAGGCTCACAAAAATTAAGAAAGGTAGAATGGATGGATCTGAAATGTAAACATTTACAAACTTTTAAGGGAACACTTCCTAGGGAGCATTATATTTCATTAGGGAAGTTTTCACAGAGAGACATGTAAATGGATTTCTGATAGATGTGAGCACTGGTGGACAGAGCCACTGGGTTGTAATAAGCTGAGAAGGAGTAGAGAGAAAGCATAAGCCAAGGCACATAATTATGTAAGAAAATGGCCCATTCAAGGAATAATCAGAAGCTCAGTATGGCCAGAACACTGAAAGGGAAAAAGAGAGGGAGGTCATCTATACCAATAAAAAGGCAATATGCTAATTAGATCAGGTGACTGGATGTCTGACTTCCTTCTGGACAGTTAGGGGGCGACCAGACCATCAGGGGAGCAGTTAGGTGGCAACCAGGCTGGCAGGAAGGCAGTTGGGGGACAACCAAGCTAGCAGGGAGGCAATTGGGGGCAACCAGGCCAGCAGGGGGTAGTTGGGGGGCAACCAGGCAAGCAGGGGGGCAATAGGGCAGGCAGGCAGGTGAGCAGTTAGGATCCAGCAATCCCAAATTGCAAGAGGGATGTCCAACTGCCAGTTTAGGCCTGATCCCTATGTGGTTCACCTGGCTATGTCCTGTAATCGATCCATTTCTCTTAATAGTACAAATGAGAACCACACTACTTTATGAATTTGCCACAAGGATTTGAGAAAGCAAAATTCTGCAAGAGAAGAATCTTGTCTGGTCAATATATTAAGGCCCTTAATTAAGAGTTTTACATAATGATGAGATATTTGTAAAACAGTTTATGTTCCATGCAGAGAGATACTGTAAAATGGAGACAGTTTTATGATCAAAATTCACATTCTTCCCAATTAGCACTAGTGCCTATTATGGCTTAACATTTGTAAGTCTTTATTCTCAAAACTTGGTGTCTGAATTACTATAGAAGTTCTTCACTGTGATACCTTATTTTACTGTTTCTCATTTATATCAGTTCTCTACATTGGGATAGCTGTATCTCTATGTATATCTCTAATAAGCTACATGTTATTGGTTTCATATCTCTAAGTGAAGTTATTGAAGTCCTAGTATATATTGAATATTTTATTCACCTCTTGCAGGGTCTCACGAAGTGTACAGAACAGCCAGTGAATCAAAAAATAATATATGATAGGCTCAGTAATAGAAGCTTCCAAGACTGTAAGGCAGCCCAATCTGTATTTTCTGATTCTGTTAATCTCACACAGGTAGATGAATGCACTTGGAAATTTCCAATTATATTTAGCTTGCTGCAAGTTGAAATACATAGACATCTTTGAAACCACAGAAAGAGCTGTTGGAAAAACTTTTATAGTTTCTGTCATTTGAACACCAATCATTCTTATTAAAGATGTTTTGAATATTTTTAAAAAAAACTTTTTAACATATTTTTATGGATTTCAGAGAGGAAGGGAGAGGAAGAGAGAGACAGAAACATCAATGATGCCAGAGAAGCATTGATAGGCTGCCTCTTGCATGCCCCCTCCTGGGGATTGAACATGCAACCTGGGATGTGCCCTTGATGGGTGCTGAACCCAGGACCTCAGTCCAATCAATGCTCTATCCATTGAGCAAAACTGGCCAGCACTTGAATACTTGTTAAAAATGCTTTTCAACTATTAACTATGGTTATCCCTGCCAAAGAAAATAAGAAACTCTAGAATATTGGCCACTATTGACTTCTTTCCTCTGCCTTTTCTTTTTCACAGATATTGATGAATGTGCTGAAGGGCGCCATTATTGCCGCGAGAATACGATGTGTGTCAACACCCCAGGCTCCTTCATGTGCATCTGTAAAACTGGATACATCCGGATTGATGACTATTCGTGTACAGGTAAATAGTGGCTTCTTATGAAATAATATCTTCCTATGTCTTCAATTTATTTTAAAAGTTTCTAAAAAAAATTCTAATTGTTTGGAGACGTCTGCCATATATTTCCCCTTACAACAAAACAAGTCATAAGCAAAAGCATATGGTTGTTGTTTTTAAAAATATATTCTTATTGACTTCAGAGAGGAAGGGAGAGGGAGAGAGAGAGATAGAAACATCAATGATGAGAGAGAATTGTTGATTGGCTGCTTCCTGCAATGCACTGGGGATCGAGCCTGCAATCTGGGCCAGGAATTGAACCATGACCTCTTGGTTCCTAGGTTGATGATCAACCACTGAGCCACACCAGCTGGGCTAAAAGCATATGGTATTGATTTTGGTAGTTAATTGTGAGTCTGATGAAAGTTTTATTCTCCCTAATAGGAAGGTAAAGATCAACTTAATAAGCAAATCAGTATTATACTAATTTTAAACACAAACAGGACTTATACTTGTGTGAATTCTATGGCAAATCTGAGAAATGACCCCTAAATAGAATCTCCTTTAATATATGAGAGTAAATTTTTGAATAGAGGGATAACATAAATAATGTTATATCTTTAAGAAATAGATTTTTGTAGTGCTGGGAAATGGGAATATTAAAGAAAATTGATCTTCTTCATACCTTTGGGCAGTACAGTTGAATACATCATAAAAATTTTGCTTATGTTTATTTCCTATCAGGATCTCTTAGTACCACCCAGAGTTCTGTTCAGGTACATCTTGAGTGTTTGTAATGTCTTAAGATAGTCCTGGGATAAGACAATTTATTAACTTCATATTATATAGGCTCCTACCTGTAGAATGTGAAAGAAAATGGTGTGGAAGAGGAGTTTGAAGACTCTGTGGTTTGAGAAAATGTAGGTGTGAAATAAGACATTCCTTTGAATTTCTTTTTCTTTTCTTTTTATTTTTATAAGAATATGTTAGAAAAAAACCCACATGTAAAATCATAAAACTGGAGAGCACTTAAAATGTTATTCTTGTCACTGTTTATCCAACTTTATACTTTTTATCTGAGGGATGTATAAAGAATACTTAGAGTTTTCCAGGGAAAGCAGCTTTTAACACTTCCCAGTAATAATATAAATCTATTACAAAAGTGCTATCGTATGCCTTTGTGTTGGTGTGTCCCTTTAAGTATTATAATGACCATACCATATATTAATTGATATCTTCTTTATCAGTTAGAACAAAGGGAAGAGCCTGCCTTTGAATTCAAATATAGTATTTATAGATAAAATGATGGAAATAAAAAAATAATGAGAAGTGACTTTCCAGTCAATGGAGATAACCAAAGATATTCTGAGGGAAGAAAATATATAGAGTTGCCAATGGATTTGCAAATTCTTGCTTTTTTTTTGTTTTTGTTAGTTCATCCTAAACATTTCCACAGTATGGGAAGAAATTGTGCACTTTTTCAGTAGACAAAATTTAATTCTCCTTAGTGGTAGTGTCTTGAAGGACTATGGAGATATTTTTCAACATAAAAAAGGAATATGTTTCAATAAATACATTGTGGTAATATTGGTAATATCAATAAGTCTGAGTTCCAAAGTAATGGTTGACAACAATAACAACAACAACAAAAAAAAAAACTGAGAAAATTGCCACTCCCAGAGTGTGGTATTTCAAGGTGTGCTCATTGAAAATAAGAGCACCAGCAATTTTCTGATTCCTTTGCATTAGGGACGTAAAAAGCTGTGCACATTTATGTACTTAGTGATTCTTTTTGTTTTCTTATATTCTTTTTATTATTTTCTTATTTTTTAATTTTTTAGAAAAAAATTTATATTTATTGATTTCAGAGAAAATGGGAGAGGAAGAGAGAAATATAGAAACATCAATGATGAGAGAGAATAATTGATTGGCTGCCTCTTGCATGCCCCATCCTGGGGATTGAGCCTGCAACCCAGGCATGTGTCCTGACCAGGAATAGAACTGTGACCTTCTAGGTCAATGCTCAACCACTGAGCCACGCCAGTTGGACTATTTTCTTATATTTTAAAAAGATGTTAGAGATTTTGACTAAGGGTGCATGACACACAATTGGGCCTCGTACAGAATGAGGAGCATTTCACAGCAGCTGGATATTTTCAAGGGGTTCATTGCCACTCCAAGCCTGTCTGCTGGCTCTCAATTCAGGGACCAGCTTAGCTGTCACCCTTTACGGAGAATTTCTTGCTTTGTCTTTCCCTCTTTCAATGCATTTCCCTTCCAAGTAAAATCCCACAAATTACTATTAATTTTCTATTACTTTGGGGAAAATTTCCCTTAAGATTCCAAAGTGCCTAATGATATAAATGAAGTCTCTTTGTAGGAATGTGAAGAAAGGCCAAATTTATTTTAAGAAAAGCTGTTCAGGCCATGATTTTTGTGCTTTAGGAACCAAAGCCAAGAATTTCAAGATCTGGCATGTGATGGATGAATTTCCTTCCTCATATGCCAGTATTTCCAACTAGCACCATTTCTATGCTTCTACTCAAAGAGGGAGACGTTCTTGCCCTTAAATGTCTTATCTGTTATAAGTAGATCTAAAAATATGAGAATTTACATTTTTACACAAAAGCTGGGTTTGCTAGGGAATATGAGTGGATTTTATTTTGTAGTCCACAAACATTTAATGTTAGACTATGCAGGGTGGGCACATATTCAGGGTTGATGTAAAGGAAATGGATGCTTAAATTCTACCACTTGGGGCACTCTCCCTTCAAGGAGCAAGTCCCCTCCATTCCCTTCCCTCTTCCATTCCCTGACAGGCGAGTATCCCCTAACCTCTAAGGGACCCCATGAGACTTGCAACCAGGGAAACAATGGGCAGAGGCACCTTGTCTGGGCTAATCCTTTAACCTGTTACCAAGGCCCCTTTTTCTCTACTTCCCAGTGAGCCAAGCAGCCCAGCCTAGGTTCTCCTGTTGCTTCTTATACATCTTGTTTTGCTACCATAAGTCTATTTTTGCTGTGGTCAATAAATTCTTGTTTGGTTTCCTACAAAAAAAAACAAAATAAAAAATAAAAAATTACTAGTTTGCTTCCTTCTGTCCACACTTTAATATCAACATCTGCACAGACACCAGGAAGAAATGACTCTTCTGGTGGGGGTTTTGCCTACAGGGCACTCTCTAAAAATCAATGGGAAAATAGCCTTGGGTAAGGATTAATAACAACAGTAACAACAAAAGAGCTTCCATAAGACCAGAGAAGGACTTCATTTCTCTGATAAAGGTTGGGCTTTATTTTCTCCGAGTTTTAGTAACAGATACCCTGTTTCCCCGAAAATAAGACAGTGTCTTATATTAATTTTTTCTCCCAAAGTTGTGCTAGGTCTTATTTTCAGGGGATGTCTTATTTTCGGGGAAACAAGGTACATCCTTGTGGCAGGAGGCTTTCCAGAATACATGTGAAGACGCCACTGCAGAGCCATGCTTTGGTTTGTGGCTGAGCTCTTGGAGTCCTGATTTTGTTTTGCTTCTGTATTCCTACTCCTTTTTCCTGTTGTAGGGCCCCTTGACATAACCTAAAAAACTGGCATGCTCAACCCTGTACCCAGAGGTCTCTCAAACTTGCTTCCCCCGTCGGAAATTAATCATAGACATTCTAATTTAAAGAATACTCAAAGAGCAATACCCTGTACTTTATAGTCAAGAGCTTTGATCAATAAAAGAAGCCTCCTTTTTTTAAAATTTTATAAGCCTATAGCTCTGGGGTAGAAATTATGTATGCCACGGAGTAATTACCTTCCATAGTTGGTAGAATTTCCATTTTTTCTTTCGGTTTCAGATGATTTGAGTTATATTTTCCTCATGATCATAAAATTTTGGAGATGGAAAATTCTTTATTTTAAAACTTTTATTGATTTCAGAGAGGAAGGGAGAGGGAGAGAGAGAGAAACATCAATGATAAGAGAGAGGCATTGACCAGCTGTCTCCCACATGCCCCACACTGGGGATTGAGCCTGCAACCCAGGCATGTGCTCTTGACCAGGAATCAAACCCTGACCTTGTGGTTCATAGGTTGACACTCAACCACTGAGCCATGCTGGCTGGGCTGAAAAATTATTAAGAATAATCTCACCCAATCTCCTAACTTTCATAAATTGGGGAAAACCAAGGCTGAGAGAGATGAATTGTCTTACTCATGGTCCTACTGTTAGAGAGAGGCAATGAGGGGCCTGAAGATAAGCCTCTTAATATTCATTATCTTTTGTTTAATTTGCAACCCCCAAAATAAATAAGGGTAAAAGATTTATATTTTATGTAGAAATACATTATTCAACTTACAATATTCATTAATTAAGCTGCCTTTCTTAGAGATTGTCCCAGTTCATTAGCTTAACTCTCAGAGATATTTTCCCCTACAGATTTTATAATAATAATCCTAAATCAGAATCAGTAGAAGAAATATAAATCATAATTTTCTAGGCCTCTGGCTCTATCATACAATTACACTAATGACTCAGTTGTGCCATTTACACAAATGATGCAGCAGTTTATAATCTTCTGAACTCATTAATATAATTTTCCTTCCAGTGAAGGTATATTTTTGTCCTAATTAAGTCTTCATAATCTCTTCTACTTCTCACTTTTTTTTTTTCTGTTCTCAGAGAGGAAAGAAAAAGAGAGAGGTGGGGAGAGGAGAGACTGAGAAAGAGAGAGGGAGGTAGAGAAAGAAAGGAAAGAGGGAAGGGAGAAAAGACAAAGGGAAGGGGATATAAGAGAAGGAAAGGGTTTAATTCACATGAGCCAAGATATTAAAAGGGAATTCTTCAGCAACTCTGATTGTAAAAACAATTTTTATGCATAACAACGTTTCTTGTAAACTTACCTTGACAAATGGCTTTTTTGGGTCCCTCACATAAACATTCATTAAATTTAGCAAATATGGTTGATCTTACTGGAAATCTCTTCTTGGTATTGTTCTGAGCAAAGAATAAAAATCTCTAGAAACAAAGATAAAATCAGAAA